GGGACCATACTTTTGACAATCCCCCAAAAGGATTGGGTGGCGTTAGGGATTTGAAGGGTTTGGATGCGGCGATCATGGTCCCTTTTGGGGCTACCCTAAACATTAGCGGAATTTCTGTTTTTGGGACCCCAGGAGTGACCACAATTTCGATAAGCTACCACGGGTGGTGATAAACAAAATGTGGGAATGATACTGCTGACATTGTTAGTTGCAGCCCGTATGTTGCAAGCTGAGCCATGAAAAGCCGAAATTTATAGTCCCCCTTAAGTAGATAGAATATGGCTTTGGGTGTATAATAATCAGATCCCCTTATACCCCATACTCTATCTACTTAAGGGGGGCTATAGTAGTTAGTCTCGGAACTTGGAGTGGCAAGAGTGAATCCCGTTCGAAATAGCAATGCGACCAGAATACTGGCATTCTTTACGCCCTAAACCTGAACGAACCCTCAACCCTAAAGGACCTCCAGTGCCATTAGAGGGCATTGGGCTGGTGGCTTGGGGCTTGCGACAGTGTCCGGGCCAGATTTGATAGTCTCATGTGATCTCATTTGCGCAGCTTTTTACTTGTGATCGCTTGTTCCTTGAAAAGAGCAGTGCTCCATTTTTTTCATTGCCCCTAACCGCGAACCCCCTAAACCCTTGGGGTAACCTTTAGCAGGCAGGAGTGAGGGCAGAATCCGACACTTCAAATGCTGGAATGAAACAGCCTGGAGGGTCAGAAATAATATTCCCATACAGTCATGTGTCTGGGTTGATCTGGAGGTTTTCCAAAATTCAAGGTACCTTACTGGGGGTTGCCATGATAGGGTCTACGTTAGGGTCCCCTTATTACCTGATTCCGGAAACCTCCCACATAGTTTTTAGCAGGCTATACCCCCCAAAACTGGTAAGATTATTTGTGTCGGTCTATGAGGACTTTGAGGACTGCAGCTTAGTGATTAGGTTCATTTGGCCGGTACCGGAGTGGAGTATTTTTGTGGACATAAGCGGTGTGCTGCAGCGTGGCCTTTGGACTTCAAGATTGCCACATGTCCTTCGTTGTGAAACGGCACACATGATCCAGGTTTATGCAGTGGGCGTTCATTGGCATGGTCGGCGTTTTTTGGGTGCAGTTGAGCATGCAGTTTCTTCACTATGGCCTTCGCTGGTCGAAGTACATCACCCGCACGGGCTGCGCCCTGGTACTGTGGATACCGGTGATGGTGGGCGTCGGTCTTGAGCAACTTGGAGTTCCGAAGACCCTGAATGAAAGAATGTACCTTACGTGATGGTAAGGAACCCAGTAGTTTTGAAGGTATATGATCCTTATTCTCGGGGTATTGTGCCCTTTCATTGATGCGATATTTGCGGCTAGGTGCTTTTCAAAGCAGTGCCCCGCGGTGCCCCACCAGTCTCCCGGGATGGTTACAAATCTTGAGGAGTTGAGGACCGAAATAAAAGGACTTTATGGCCCAAAGACCATGAATATTATAGTATATTGGCCAAAACGCCCTATTATTTGGGTCCTTGGACCGTCAGAAAGAAAGTAGGGAGAAAGTTGCACATAGTTTTGAGAAAGCTCGAGGTACACAAGCTTTCTGCTCTGCTTCGCCCTAACAGACCACGACAGCCTGATCCCAGTGATCCCATTTGTTCTATGGACACTTTGGATAGTTTTGCTTAGCCACTGGTCAGATGGCCCTGCGAAGGTGGCACAGTCTGCTAAGTCGAAAAAGGAGCCCATCTTCAAAGAAGACGGCCCCAAGGAAGAGGACCCCCAAGTTGTTCTTAAGGTTGTGCCTGATGATCTGGCTGATGACCTGAGCAACACAGACACGGTCTCGGTGTTTGAGACTTGACTTGGCGTGTACAGCTCTGAGATATCCCAAGCCGAAGTCGCGCGTTGGACACAAAACAGCTAAGGCGCGTCCATTTATTCCAACTATGTCTGTCGCTTATTCCTCGGTAAGGTTTTGTTACGTTTTTTTTGGTGCGTAGATATAGGGTTCTTTAGGAAACCTGGCGAGTGCCTATATCAGGCGTCCAGTTTCGGACATATTATAGTCCTATACCTTATATATCCCTGTTTACCTCCCTATATTGCTTCTTTATGCCCCTTGAATTGCCCTAAGCCCCAAGCCCTAAATCCTATCCATCCCTATAGAACCCCTATATATCCCCTTTAAAGACCCTATATATCCCCTTAAGGGGACCCTTCGTTGCAGGGGCAGCTTGTGCATCTGAACTTTTCTTGCGACCGCGCAGTTTAGGGTCTGAGGTTTAGTGTTTAAGGTTTAGGGTTGGGGTTGGCATCTGGGATGCAGGAGCCTTTTTCTACGTCCTCGAGTTTTCTTGCCCCGAGCTTTAGCCTTGAGTGTTGAATTGCGGTTATGTAACCTTAACCCCCCAAACATTGAGCTAACTATAAAGTTTTGATTCTGCTTGTTGGGGTTACCGAAGTGTCCCGAATATTACTTACCATCACGTCCGCATCTTGTGCCACTCCCTTTCAGTGATGCTGATTGCATTCAAACATCTCCAGGAAGTGCTTTCATATGGATCCTAAACCCTAAACCCCTAAAACCAAACCCCTAAACCCTAAACCCCTAAACCAAACCCCTAAACCCTAAGTACCAACATGTTGGAAAGGGTTCGCGAGTCGAAAGGCCAGCCAAGGTTCACTTAAAATTCTGAAGTTCAAACCCTAACTTCTAGACCCGAACATCTGTAGTGCGTAAGCCCTAAAGGCATGTGAGGCGCATTTGGTGGTAGTGGCAAGCTCTGAATTCTGTTTCTGTTCCCCTTTCCAACAGGGATTCCTAAAGCATTTCTTGGTGTTTTGCTCCGCCAAAAGCGAGACCGCCTCCCCCAATTCAGGAAATCTAGGCCCTAGATATTGAAATAGTAATAAGGATTATAACAATAGCAATAGTAGCAACCAAAATAGCAATAGCAGTAAAAATGGTAATAATTCAATCAGCATCTTTGGACCGAGGCCCTTTGAGGACAGCCAGTCACACACCCCGGCTTGCCACCTGGCTTATGGCCACGCCCCAGGTCTTGAGGGCTTAGCCCAGGGGCTCTACGTCTATCAACAAATAATACCTACATGGGCCCTAAAGTCCATAAATATCACCTACATGACGCCTCAGTGAACCCTAAACCTCAAACCCTAAACGCCTAAACCCTAAACCCTCAAACCTAAACCCTAAACGTGTCGGGTTGGGGGTATTAAAGTTTGTTAGGGCCTACTTGGAGGGTCATGGGGACTTAGTAAGTAGGTTAATAACCCCTATAAGCCATATAGGGTTGAAGCTTCAGCGTTTTGAATTCATCTGCTTCCAAACCAACGTCCCTCAAAAGCCGCTTTTCAAACTGTGTATCTAGGGTTTAGGGTTTAGGGTTCCAGTGTGTCTAGGGTTAAGGGTTTAGGGTTCCATTGGGTACTGCCCCCACTCGTTAACAGTTGGAGAAAACAATTGTAATATGACTATACAGAGCCCTTAATACGACAGCTACTATCGATTGTTAATGGGTTGGGGCAGTACCCAAGGGTTCCATGCAATTTTGGAATGCGGTCGGGCATTGGAGGGATGATCTGCGCAGAGACGGGGGCCTTCGCAGGCTTCCGGGATAACATGCCTATGCACCGTCTACCTATATACCGTATATACCCTATACCCTAAACCCTATGAATCAGAACATGGGGTTTGTTCTGAAAGGGTTCCCCATCTAGCGATTCGGGCCTGGCTCCCGTTGTTTGAGGGCTCAGAGAATTCAGGCAAACATTGCTTTCGATATCTTTCGATGGTTCAGGCTGAAGGATTTACCTTCAAAGGTTGAAGGCAATGAGTGCAGGTCAACACCGTTAATTTGGGTACTGCCCCAGCGCTGTAACAGTTGGATAATTTATTTATTTGATATATTAACAGTAGTATATATGTAGCATGACTCCTAATCGCCCTAATCTAGACCGTTCCAGGTGGGGGAAGTACCCAACCTTGACCCTATATCTTGGACATCCATTTGATGTGTTAGGGTCATGAGCCGAGGGGGGTGTCCAGTATGGCTTGGGTCAGTCTCCCACTGAGCAGCAGTGGTATAGGAGGTTGATTAAGGACCGTAATAGAACTATAGTCCCCATTAAGTAGAT